GTGTGTGTGTGTGTGTGTGTGTGTGTGTGTGTGTGTGTGTGTGTGTGTGTGTGTGTGTGTGTGTGAAGGTGTGTAAATAAACACACACACATATATCATTCCTCTTGACCAAAGTGGAAGGTCCGAACGCGAGCGACTCCCCGAAAGATCTTTCCTCGGGCGATTCTTTCGATTCGCAGAAGGACCCACCACGCGGGCGGCGCTTAAGACACGGGCGGCGAATTGAAAGAATCGGTCGAGGAATCTCGGGAAGTCGTTCTCGCTCAGACCTTTATATATATGTATATATTATATATATATATATATATATATATATATATATATATATATATATATATACTTTATTAATATGACATTGTGAAATCGCGACGACAAGAGCGGGCCCTGTGGGTATCCAGGCGCTGTACAGAGGGGAGGCTGGGAGAGGGTGGCCTTGTCGCAGTGGTGGCGGAGGTGTCAGAGGCAGATGGAAGCACACGTACCTGCGTAGACAGACGTATTATATGTATATGTATATATATATATATATATATATATATATATATATATATATATATATATATATATATATATATATATATATGTATATATACATATATATACATATATATATATATATGTATGTATATATATATATATATATATATATATATATATATATATATATATATATATATGTATATATATATGTATATGTATGTATATGTCATATGTATACATACATATATATGTATATTATATATATATATATATATATATATATATTATATATATATATATGTATATATAGTATATATATATATATATATATATATATATATATATATATATATATATATATATATATATATATCACACACACACATAGCCAGGCTTACTCCTATACCGCTTTCCTTCTTAATTCGTTCCCGCCCCAGACACGCCCCGATGTTCCCATTTTTTAGACTCCTTATTCTGAGCTCGTGTGTGGCGGCAGCGGGGGTGGCGTGGGCGGCGGCGGCGGCGGCGGCGGGGGCGGGCGGCGCTTGGACCCGCCTTCCCTGCGCCTCGTGTCCCGTGCGGGCAGCGAAGCATGCGGGATGCGAAGAGCAGAAACTCGCCAGTTGCCCCCGTGGCTCACCGTTCGCTCCTCGAGGCGACGACGTGTGCCTCTTCTCCTTCAACTGCGCAGGGGTCCGACGCCAACAGACGTGGTGGATCCGCTCTCAAGGAAGCGACGTCAGGGGCGCGGAGGACGCGCAGGGCAGGCACCTCTTCAGGGTGCCCATCCTCATCCACAAGGAGGTTCAGTCCTTCCTTTTCTCCCTCGGGAAACTCATAGAAGGAAACGAGGTTCTGATCTACCTCCTCCGGGACATCGCCTTCGCGGACTTCATCAGAATCAAACTCCACGACGGACGCATCACCACCTCCTGGACCTTCGGCTTCAGGGAGAAGTGGAACAGCAGCGCGGTCGTGGGAACGCCCCTAGTCTTAGAAATAATTCAGTCGGGCACACGACTGAAGATAAAAGAAAACGGAAAGGATATATTATTTGAGAGAAGTGGCAATGCCATGCTCCCGCCCATCAGATTCTTCCATGTGACGAGCACCAAGGGCGTGCTTTTCAGCGTCGTTAGCATCGATGGCCAAGAGTGGGACTGCCCTCAAGCGACTATACTGCCACTATACAAATCTAAGCAGCTGTCAATGCCGCTACGAAAGCTCACTTCCCCGCTCGAGATTTACATCGAAAACGCTCCTGTAACTATCTAGCTGCTCAGCGCGCATCCTCCCAATGCCTCGGAGACCGCGGTGATTAACATCAGAAGGCACTTATCTGTGAGCCAGTGTCGCCTCAGTAAGGGGTGTCACAGAACAGAAAAGAACCTCCTGGGCAGACTGAGGAGCGACGGCGTTTTCGTAACAGTAAAAAGGAAAAGCATCATCTTAAGCTACGACTAACAAGACGTTGTCATTCGTTTGAAGCGAAATCCCTACCGCTTTTGGCAACTGATAAACAAGAAAAAAAGGTCGAGCGTAGAGATCACAATCATTACTGGAAGGAAATGTACGCCTCTACCTGGGAACATTCATTCCCACAGGTGCAGATCCCGGCAGTTCGAGGAGGTTAAAGCTAACACTTCTGACTAAGTAAACATTTCTTGGACAAAATTCGGCCAAATGTGTTTGCCTTGGAATCTGCAAAGCGTTTGCAAGTGCATGACTACCTAACAGAAAGAGTGTCATCACAGGGTGCCCTGCAGAAAGTTAAGTAGGAACTGTACTTTAGATTATGCAGGGCATACCTATTCGGGAGATTTGCATCCCCAAGCATGTTAAGCATGGAGACCTTACTCGAAATATATAAAAGAAGGCAGCAAATCCTGCAGAAATCCCATGGACAAACCGGCCCTTTTGCCTTACTGCTTCTCCCGCTACGACAGGAGAGAGTCATGCGACATTCCACTCTGTTATGACGTCCCTTCCCCAGCCACCTCTTACGTTCACTTGGGGGGAGAGGCCTCCAGCATGGTCGGGGTCGCCGTCATGACGATGAAACAAGGGAAAGGCATCACCTTCCTGTTGCGGACGGCGACTCTTTATAGGAGTCCCTGCATCAGGTTCACGTTCATCTCCGTCCACGGGGTTGCCAGGTTCGTTGAAATGACGCCCGACCGAATCGTAAAAGACAACGGGAAAGGGTTCAGGACATATGGTCCAATCTTTAGCTTTGATCGATTTTCAAGAATATAGTTTTACGAGAAAGGTAATCGCTGGCACATTGAAAAGGAGGGACGGAAACTATTGGACCTGAGGAGCCCCGGGAATCCTCACGCGGTGTTTTACGGCAGTTGCGAAAACGCCTCCATGGTAGATACATACATGCTGCTCAAAATTGAAGGGGTTGGATTAACCTAACCTGACTAGATAAACATTGGTTCAGAGTCCTTGAGCTTCAACAAAATAGTTATGGTAAGCGGCAAAGGCGCCATAAATTTCATGTTCCTTCACGGTGGTCATGGCACGCTTCTATTCCGGATGTGGAACCTGCAAAACGAAAGGGATTGGAGGCTTACGGCTGAGGTGTCCTTCAACGGCACCATGATGAATCTCATGACAAAAAGCCCTAGTGCAGTATACAAGCCCCGATATTTATATGTATCAGAATTAACATCTAAACATCACACATTTTTGGGTGCGTATAAAGAAAGCCAAGGAGAGTTAGAGTTTTCTATTTTTAACCGAAGCGAAATAATGAAGGTACCTTTGTCAAATCACTATAGCATATAATTTGTTGAGGATGATGATATAAAATCTGTTAACAAGTCAACATGGAGAAGTATCACACCTGGAAGAAGAAGCTTATCTAATTAGTTCTTTTAGGGTTAATGGTCGTAGTGGCATGTAAAGCCCAGAAGTTATTTTAATGGGACTTACATGGACGTATAGTGGAGGGTCTGCATCCCAAGCACATAAGGGCAAGATTAAATTATATAGTGTGACGGCATAGGCTACATCATCCATCCGGATAGATTCAGCGATATCTAGCGTAGTGGCACTATGCCTACAATACAAAAATTAATTGTCAAACAAGGTGAAAAGTTCACATATAACCCTAACCCAAAGCAAAAACAAACTGGATTGCCTCAATTTTAAGAGTTTGAGGGCGCAGCTGTGGTCGGCGGACGGAGAGGTAAGTCCGAGAAGTATTGCGATGATCCCAGCACCTGTGAGGTATCGGAATTCGTTTGGAAGCATAAGGGCAAAGAGTGTGACCCCGACCTCTGTGTAAGCAATAACGAAACGTTAATAATATTCTCACCCCAGCCTTCAATGACGGGCATATGGAGGTTGATGCCCAAAGTGGGCACTGTCGTCAAACCCAAAGGTATGTTCACACTAATTGTTCATCCGTCAGTCTAAATCAGAGAAATGAACGAAAATGTCACTTAAGTCTGCGATGTTGAATAATTATGGGGAACTATCCCGAACAATCCGGTCGATATTATATGGACTCGAAACGGATAAGTCCAGAGGGAATATAAATCTTTTACCGAAAAATAAAGTTTTCTCACCTTTGAATTAAATGAGAACACAACAGGGCTATGGGAATGCAGAGGTAGAATAAAACAAGAACAAATAGTATTGGTCCGGACAAATATGTAAGTACTTTCTTCCGGCATTCCTTGGCTCATGCTGACGATCGTCACAGCTGTGGTCACAGCTGTGGTGGTAGGTGTTATCGTAGTTTTGATATATAGAAAACGAAGTTAAAAAAAAATAGAAGAGATAAGAAGACCACATACCATAGCTGAACTTATAAAGAGCATCAGCTCCTTTTATGCTCGCTTTCCTTGGCTCGGAGACACAGAGGAGGCATGGAGAGAATTCTTACCTACCTCGCATCCTGCGTCAGCTGCATCACAGCCTGCTCCGTCTGCCTCGGCCGCAGCGGCGCAGAAGTCTGCCTCGGCCGCATCGGCGCAGAAGTCTGCCTCGGGCGCAGCGGCGCAGAAGCCTGTCTCGGCCGCATCGGCGCAGAAGTCTGCCTCGGCGCAGCGCGCAGAAGCCTGTCTCGCCGCATCGGCGCCAAGCCTGTCTCGGCCGCATCGGCGCAGAAGTCTGCCTCGGCCGCAGCGGCGCAGAAGCCTGTCTCGGCCGCGCAGAAGTAGCGGCGCAGAAGCCTGTCTCGGCCGCATCGGCCGCAGAGCGGCCGCAGCGGCGCAGAAGTCTGCCTCGACCACATCGGCGCAGAAGCCTGTTCGGCGCAGGCGCAGAAGCCTGTCTCGGCCGCAGCGGCGCAGAAGCCTGTCTCGGCCGCAGCGGCGCAGAAGCCGCAGAGAAAGCCTATCTCGGCCGCAGGCGGCGCAGAAGCCTATCTCGGCCGCAGCGGCGCAGAAGCCTATCTCGGCCGCAGCGGCGCAGAAGCCTGCCTCGGCCGCAGCGGCGCAGAAGTCTGCTTCGGCCGCATCGGCGCAGAAGCCTTCCTCGGCCGCAGCGGCGCAGTAGCAGCCTGCCTAAGCCGCTTCGGCGTAGAAGCCTGCCTCTTCTGCATCAGTAGCCTGTCCTGACCATAGCGGCGCAGAAGACTGCAATAGCCTGTCCCGCCCGCATCGGCGCAGAAGCCTGCCTTTTCCACATCGTCGCAGAAGCTTGCCCTTGCCGCATCGGCGCCCTCCTCGGCCGCAACGGCGCAGAAGCCTGCCCTTGCCGCATCGGCGCAGAACCCGGCCCCAGCCTAACCCAGGCGAGGAGCAGCCTAGAGGGAATAAGAGAAGATTCATTACCTTCCGATGGAAGCCTGCCCCGTCCGCAGCCGCGCAATAGCCTGCCCCGTCCGCATCGGCGCAGTAGCTTGCCTCGGCCGAAAAGCAGCCTACAGTGAAATATACCTTACATTGGAAGCCTGCCCCGGCCGCAGCTGCGTAGGAGCCTGCCTCGGCCGAAAAGCAGCCTACAGGGAATAAGGGAAGGTATACCTTACATTGGAAGCCTGCTCCGGCCGCAGCTGCGCAGAAGCCTGCCCCGGCCGCCGCTGCGCAGAAGCCTGCCCCGGCCGCAGCTGCGCAGAAGCCTGCCTCGGCCGAAAAGCAGCCTACAGGGAATAAGGGAAGGTATACCTTACATTGGAAGCCTGCCCCGGCCGCAGCTGCGCAGAAGCCTATCCCGGCCGCAGCTGCGTAGAAGCCTGCCCCGGCCGCAGCTGCGCAGAAGCCTGCCCCGCCCGTAGCGGTGCAGTAGCCTGCTTCAGCCGAAAAGCAGCCTACAGGGAATAAGGGAAGGTATACCGCCGCAGCGGCGCAGAAGCAAGCATCGGCCCGTTGAAAAACATCTGACGGTAAGAATTTTTACTGACGGGTATGCACATATATATTAAATCAATCCTATTACATTTCCAGTGCACATTGACTAATTGGGACTGGCATTCTGGGACCTTTTTTGTGCCCGTTTTTTGCTCGTTTCTCCCCTTCTTTCTTTATCACCATACAATAGTTCTTTTCTAATATCAACAGAATGACATCATTAATGCAATTAAAATTAGAAGCACTCAGAAAGCACATTACCTTTTAATAATTCCGATATGGTATCTAAAGACAAAAAAATATATGATATAGATCCTTGTGGTTTTAAAGATTATAATTAATACCCGCATTGTTATCTGAGAGAGAGAGAGAGAGAGAGAGAGAGAGAGAGAGAGAGAGAGAGAGAGAGAGAAAAGAGAGAGAGAGAGAGAGAGAGAGAGAGAGAGAAAGAGAGAAGAGAGAGAGAGAGAGAGAGAGAGAGAGAGAGAGAGAGAGAGAGAGAGAGAGAGAGAGAGAGAGAGAGAGAGAGAGAGAGAGAGAGAGAGAGAGAGAGAGAGAGAGAGAGAGAGAGAGAGAGAGAGAGAGAGAGAGAGAGAGAGAGAGGGGAGGGGGGAGAAACCGACACAGAAGAAAAAACAAAGATTCGCATGATACACACACACACACACACACACACACAAACACACACATACACACCACACATCACACACACACACACACACACCACACACACATATATATATATACTAATTATATATATTATTATACTACTAATATCTATAATATATAATATTCGTATATAATATAATTTATATCTCTCTCATATATACATCTACACCCGTACTTCTCTCTCTCTCTCTCTCTCTCTCATCCTCTCCCCTTCATCTCTCTTTTCTTACTCTCCTCCTTCTCATCTCTCACGAATGTAGTATATACCCCATATCTATTAATCATATATATGTATCACTATTTTACCATCTCTCTCTATCTATCTCCTCTATCTCTCTCTCTCTCTCTATCTCTCTCTTCACTATCTACTTCTCTCTCTCCCTCCTCTCTCTCTTTTCTTACTTTCTTCTACCCTCCCTCCCTCATCTTACCTACTTACTCTCTCTAACTCCTCTCTCTCCTCATCTGTTTATATATTATTCTCTGGTGTGTTCGGTCTGTTGTTACTTTGTCTTGCTTGCTCTCCTCTCGTTGCCCTCCCTGTGTTGTGCTGTCGCGTGTGTTTGCGTGTGTGTATACTATCTTCTCTCTCTCTCTTCTATCTCTCTTTATTCATAATCTCTATCTATATATTACTATTACACTCTCTATCTACAGTATCTCCTCTCGTCATCTATCTCTCTCCATTTCTCTCTCTTCTCTCTCTTCTATCTCTCTCTCTTCCACCCCTCCTCATCTCTCTCCCTCTCGCTCTCACATCCTCCTTCCCTACCCCTCTCTAACATCCTCTCCCTCTATCCCTCTCACTGATCTTCATCTTCCTCTCCTCTCACCTCGCCCCCTTTCATACTCTCTTATCCACTCTATTACTCGTTTTCACACCTCGCCATATGTCCTCATACCTTCACTACGACTCCACACTTTCTCCTCCTGCCGTTATCCTTTGAACTCGGGAAAGCAAGTGTCGGCATGAGGGAGGTTAAGGTGGAGGTATATATAGTATCAAGGAGGGAGGGGGGTTGTTCTTTGTTCGTGTTTGCGTCGGGACGGGTGTGTAAGGTGTTCGTAGGAGGGGTGGGATGGATGAGGATAGCCGAATTAAGATTCACGAAAGTTAATTTTTAAGGTCTGTACTGACTTTTCTTTCGAGGGCGAACGAAGTGGGCTTAGTTGTAAGGATAGTGAGAACAGTTTTATATCCTATATTATTTATTTATTAATTTAAATTATCTATCTCTAGGGTGAGGGGGGGGTAAAAGGTGTATAGGTACATAGAGTGAGTATGTAATGAATGATAAATAGGTGGGATAGTAGGGTAGATAAAATTACAGCAATAATAAAAGAAAAAATATATTAAAATATTATATTTTATATATATATAATATTTATTGTGAGGTGTTTTTAATTTCATTATAATCATCGCCTATTTGGTATATATGATGAGGGATTATATATGAGTTGAAGGATATTATTATAATATAATATAGTAGTGAAATGTAGAGATCCACTGAAATGATAATGGTTATGAGATATATTAATATTTATTTGTAAAATTTATTTTTAATAGGTATAATTCATATTCGTTATACCTTAACAGTAATTTAACTTCATTTTAATTACTTATTAATATACCTAATATCATTATATATACTAACTTAATGATGGGTTAAATGTGGAGTATAAAAAGGTAAAGGTATATTTTAAAAGGGGGATTAATATATGACCTTATAAATTTGAAATGGCATAGAGATATACTATTATTAATTAAACATATATATATACACACAACATAACAACCTATATAACCTACATTACTACATCACATACATATATTATATATATATACACACTACTATAAACTATAATACTAACACAACACACACATCTCATGTACATTTCTATAATAATTCTATTCGTCCTACAAGACAGTTTCGGACGCTACCGTTACTTAATTTACTAATAAACTCACTAGTGTTAGGGAAATAGTAAAGGAATATGGCTGATATATATTTGCACTTCTCTACGATAATTCTATTAATTCTATTCGTCCTTACAAGACAATATCCTTTCGTGAGTTACTTCATTTATCCGATATAATAACTCACTAGTGGTATGGAAATAGTAAAGGAATTTAATAGGGGATGATAGACCTGAAATGAAATGGCTGATATATATATATTTGTTACTTTATAAGATAATTATATACTTCCCTACGTTAAGTTACTTCATTTATCTTATATAAAATAACCCCACTAGTGGTATGGGAATTGTAAAGGAATTTAATAGGGGATGATAGAACTGAATGAAATGGCTGATTATATATATATATATATATATATATATATATATATATATATATATATAT